GTGGGGTACTGAGCATGCTGGGGGTACTGCGTGGGTGTGTGGAGTACTGGGCATGCTGGGGTACTAGCATGGGTGTGTGGGGTACTGAGCATGCTAGGGGTACTGCGTGGGTGTGTGGAGTACTGAGCGTGCTGGGGTACTGGCATGGGTATGTGGGGTACTGAGCGTGCTGGGGTACTGGCATGGGTGTGTGGGGTACTGAGCGTGCTGGGGGTACTGGCGTGGTGTGCGGGGTCCTAAGTGCATTGCCCTCTGCCTGTACCTGACACAGACCTCAGGTCAGAGATCAACCCTAAGGAAGCCGATAGGCAGCCCGAGAGGTGAGGACAGCTTTGTCATAACCAGGAAATGTGCGTTGTTTACGGAGAGGCCTGGCCATGGCTGTGGCCATGGTGGGGTGGGATGAGGCTCACCAAAGTTCCCCAGGCTGCCCTCACGGGTGTCCACACACATCTCCAGCACCCTCACCAGCCGAAGGTCATCCACCTGGGCCAGGGCCTGCTGTAGAAACCAACCGGGACTCAGTGCTGATCCTGGCTCTCCCCACTTTAGTTCCATCCTTGCTTCTGGCTGCAGGACTCTGGGGTTCCCGCTGGAGTGGGCACCGACCTTTCCCTGCCTTGGCCATGTTGGCCCTGGTCTGGGTGGTGGGATGGAAATGGACGTGACATGAGCAGAGCTTGTGCTGCACTTGACTGGAGGGCCACTGCCAGAGAAGGACCTGCCTTGGGGGCTGCCCATCTCCAAAGAGACTCCCAGGGCAGACACACCACATCCGGCACCCAGAGCCCGGACCGCGCCTGGCCCTGCCCTGAGCTTTGAGCCGTCTGGTCTCCTGCTTGAGTGAAGGACCAACCCCCTCTTTGGTTGGAGGATAATGGACGCTCAGCCCCTACTTGTGGGTTCTGGCCTAGCTCAGTCCTGTCTGTGACCCAAATGCCTGGGGACATCTGTGTCACCGAGCACCTGGTGTTGCTGGTGTTTTGGGGTCTGGTAGGGGTCCCAAGGGCAGAGTGGGCGGAGTGGACTCAGCTGCAGGGGCCAGGCTGAGGCCAACCATCAGCAGGCAAGACCAGCAAGAGGGGGACAGAGGGCAGGCTGCATCATCAGCAGAAAGGAGCCCTGGGATGTCACCCCACGCAGGCCTCTGTGGCCACAGCCCCCAGCGCCCACACTCACTAGTCGCGCAGGGGACAGGTACTCTTCCACCAGCTGCTCTCCAAGGCTGTCCCTCTGGCTGCCAGGGCTCTTGCTCTGTGGGCAGGGGTTGTGCAGGCCTTGCCAGCTCAGCTCCCGCACCCGGAAGCTGGAGGTGCTCGGCCGAGGCCCACGGGATCTGTCCCAGCCTGGGTCCATTCACATGTAACCTGCTGACAGAGGCAGAGCGCAAAGCTCCAAGCTGTTGCTCCTCCTCCTCTGTAGCCTGGCTGAGACCCTGGCACAGCCCTCAACTCCCTGCTCCCGCCAACACACACAGCAAGCCCTTGGCACCCACCCCCACCCCGAGCCTAGAGAAGGCTCCTAGCTTGGCTGGGCCTCATGGAGCCCTAGTCTGCTTAGTTTCAGCCTGGAGGGCCTCACGCTCCCCTCCCCCAGCCTTGGCTCAACCCCCTCTGCTCCGTAGGACGCCCTCCCTATGTTTCTGCCCATCCTCAGGGTCCATGCAGGGAGTGCTGGCTCCATGCCTCCCCACCTGAGGACCATGAGGGCTGTGAGCCTGATGGTGCCAGGCCAGCTGCCTGTGGCTATGGGGCTCCCAGGGCTGCCTCAATCTGTGGGCTATGGGTCCTTCTCCACCTGATGGTCTCTGAGCCTGGGGTCCAGGCCTTCCCCTACCCCACCCCTGTGCCAGCCAAACCCCTTCTGCAGGCAGCTGCTTTCTTCTGCTGTGGGTCAAACATCCAGGCAAGGAGGCAGCACGTGCCCTCAGGCAGTACCTGCAAGAGTCAGGGTGGCTTCCTGGCCAGTTTACTGTGCCCAGGGGAACCTGGAATGGGCCGGGCTGAGGTCACAGCACCCAGAGGTGAGCAGGTCAGCCCAGGACCTGACCATCCACGGGCCCAGCTGGCAAGGAGGAAGACAGAGTCAGGTGTGTGACCGATGCTAGGTTACCTCTGGGTTCCCCAACGCGATGCCTGCTGCTATTCCAAATCCCACTTCCCTCCTTCTCCACAGGGGTCCTCTCTTGCACCCCGTTCTTCCTGAGCCCCTCTCCAGGCCTCTGAGGGTGTTGGCCCAGTGTGTCCCTCTCCTGTACCCCGTTCTTTCTAAGCCCAGTGTATCCCTCGACCACCTGCACCAGGCTTACCTAGTGTTGCCCCTTAAAGATGCAGATGTCTGGCAGGGCGCAGTGGTTCACGCCTGTAATCCCAGCACTCTGGGAAGCTGAGGCGGGCAGATCACGAGGTCAGGAGATGGAGACCATCCTGGCTAACACGGTGAAACCCCGACTGTACTAAAA